AGATTTGAGGATAAAAATGATAAAGAGTTGTAGAAAAGGGATACCTCAATGGCGATTCAATGTATAAATTATAGGCATATCGCTATCCGTCAAAACCAAATTCTGTATGTTATCATCTCTCCGTTCTTGCCTCTTTCGTGAATTGCGTTACGATGTTTTTTCTCCACTACAGAACTACAGAGTAGGTAGTAGTAATACTTTTCAGAAATATAGAAATACACCACTGTCAAATTTTATGAAAATTACATAATTTTTCAAAAGAGTTTGCTAATTTTGACCAGTATATTGCTTATCCAATTGTATGCAACAAAATTTTTTTTAATAAAGGAATAATAAATAAAATATGAAAGAAAAAAATATTTTAAATAATGAATTTTTGGGAATTTTTATATATTCTCTAGATTCTTATTTTAAGAAGATAAAAAGGTTAAACAAGTTTTTTTCTCTTCATCGTGTCAGTCATTTATATACGAATTTTGTATATATATAAATGTGATTTAGATTTATTTTATAATGATTGTGATATTCAAGTTAATTTTGTGCACCTTAACTAATTCTACAGAATATCTATCATCTCTCACCAGCAACAAATACATGTAACTTTGTCCATCAACATTAATTTGTGTTGAATATCAAAACTTAAATTTAAAGCAAATCAACAAGATGTCCTAATTGAGGACTTTTTGTGCGTATTTCCTACAAAATTCAAATGGTGGCTTGACAAAATCTCTTGAAGTTTGAATTCTCAAATGGTTTCACTATGTTATGTGTTACATATGGTATAAAACTTTTAAGTCAATCAGGTCTAAATTGTAAAACAATCTCATAATGTAAATTGTAAGATAGCAAAAGCGCATTAATTATGGAAGAAATCATAATTCATAAATATCCGATACACCAAATAATCCATTTAATTTTTTATTTTATTTATTCAAATAATCCATTAAAGGAAGATGAAACCTCAAGAAAATTTTATCTTTCTTCCCGTTGAGATAACGAAATCATAACATTGAATATTGATAACCAAAAGTCCAAAAATAGATAACATTTAATCTGCCTTAGGAATTTCCCCAAAAACTAAACCTTGAAAAAAATAATTCAGAAGATAATGAATTTGTTTTCTTTTTAAAAATATTTTTTTAAAATGACAAAAAAAAAAAAAAAATCAAAACGGGACAAAAATACGTTCACGCTTCACATGCAAAGAATCCAAATGGTTATCTTCTTGCCTCTTTTGACAAAACAAAACTTGTGATTGGAAAATTGAAGTAAAAACAAAATCTAATTTAATAGTAATTACAATGTTTTAAAATATTTAATTGCTGCAATGATTGAACAATTCAGAATAATCAATGAAAACAAATAAGACTTGTTTTTTTTTAATTATAGAAGACAGGATAAAATTAGAAGAGTCGGTTATTTTTGTCGTTAATAAATAACTAGATTAAATTAATTTGCTGCGTATTTAAAATAATGAGAATTAGACAAATTGAACTAATTATTGGTAGAGGCCACACCACAAGAACGCTAGCTGTCCATTCACAGGTCAACAAATCAAACTTGGGTACTACTACTAAATTATTACTAGTATTTCGGTGCAGTTTTTTTTAAAAAAATTGAGGGCCTTTTTCGGGGTGAATATGTAACAACTCCAATTTCACATTAGAAATATTCAGATATTATAATTATAAAATTCAAAGTTACAACGAAAAATAGAACTAACAAGAAAATTGCAAAACAATAATGAACTAGTAAAAAAAATAAACTATTGAAGATAGAAGAAAGATAGAGAAGCTTAAAGGGTGTTTGAATTGACTTAAAAGTTGGTCAAACTTATTTTTAAGTTAGTTTTTTATTTCTAAAAGTGTTTGACAAATATAAAAATAACTTAAAATAAGTCAAAAAAATGACTTAAAATAAGTTAGAAAGTGTTTGACAAGCTTAAAAATAACTTGAAATAAATTTAAAATGACTTGAAATAAGTTGAAAATCAAAAGTAGGTCTCCCTTACTTTTTATTTTCCTACTTTTGATTTTTGACTTAAAAGTCATTTCAGTTTGACTTTTTAATTTTAACTTAAAAGCTGCTTTCTTTAATTCAATCCAATCCAAACAGGCTTTTAGACTCAAACAAAGGGGATGAGAAGGCTATACATTTTTCTCAACAATTTGAATAAACCGACATTTCTCATATGTCGTCCTTTTAACTAGTTGTCAATTGGGTTTGGGTTCCAAATCAACCTTTGTGAAGTCCCTAATTTTGCTGCTTCTTTTCAGCCCAATAACTAGTTGTGTGACATCCATATAGGTATCGATATTGGGTCGAGGTTGGTTCACAATAGAATACTTCAAAAGTTTAAGTTTTTTTTAGGCATAATATATAAATATGTCATTTAACTTTACCTCATTTTACATTTATTCCCTCTAACTTTAAGTATGCACAAGTAGACATTTAAACTTGTATAAAATTGAACAAATAGACACACACGTCCTATGTGGCATCCTACATGGCAATTTGCGTCCTATGTGGTGTCCAGTGTGTATTATGCCACATAAAACTCATGTGTCTACTTGTTCAACTTTATACAAGTTTAAGTGTCTACCTGTGCACACTCAAAATTGGAGGATATAAATGTTAAATGAGGCCAAGTTAAAGGACATATTTATGTATTGTGCCTTTTTTATATATATAAAAACTATAATCTTTGGATAAATATATATCGTTGATTTGGTTTTATTTTTTTTCCCGCTTAAGAGCAAATTATAAGCTTTATGCAAGCAAATTAATTTAACCAACTAGTAAATATCGAATTCAATATAATTATACAAAAGAAAAGGACTAATAACTGCAACGTTGGTAAACAGTATTTTGTTTCAAATACTAAAAAGACTTTTGTCAATAAGAAAATATCGCACAAATTGTCAAAAATTACTAGTATTATTTATATTTATACCATTTGGGTCGTTCTTATTACCCTGTTTATCTTTACTCACTTTAAATTACTTTACCTGAAAATGTAAAATATTACATCACTTAAAATAAAAATAAATTGTATTTAATTGCATGTAGATATACTACATAAACATTATTGACCCCACCCTTTCCATCTATTTATTTATCTACCCACTGAATACATTTATTTAGTCTTAAAAGATTTGTGTATGGTTTATAACAAAACAAAATCTTGGTGATGGATCAATAAAAACAAATAAATATACACTAACAACATTAATTATGAAAAAGGACTATAATTAAATTCTTGATGAACAATGCCTTTTTCTTTAATTTGCTTTATGTGGACAAATAAAATCAGCCGAGTTAAAAAATAACAAATATCATATAATTATAATTATATACAAATGAAAAAGACTAATAATTGCAATGTTGTTATCCATCGCTTTATTCAAATAAGTATTTGAATAACACCGATTGTTCATTTCATTTTCGTTATAAATAAATTTAAAAGCTATACATCACACGATTATAAGCTGTGCACAATCAAGAAGACTTTTGGATAGACACGATATCCTTTAGACAGTCTAATCCAAACTGTTCTTCCGAATCCTCCAAAATCCCATGATTTCATAAGTCAATTATTACCAAATCATTCGCATTTTTTCACTAAAAATATTTTTACGTATTTGAATTAATTACCGTAAAAATATACAGTCCCCCCGCCCTCCCCCTACCCTCACAAACTCAAATTGCCAAGACAAAATTAATTACACATTGTTTGTTTAAAATAAGCATCAAATTTTAGTAAAATAGACAAATAAAAGTGATCGAAGAGAGTAATTAATCACACTTGAAATTAAAAATACATCAATTATGTAGACACACTCATAAGTAGAGTAGACATTCAATGAAGAGAAAATATATTTTAAGAATATAAACATAGATAAAGTACTCAAAAATTCTCCTAGTTAATACTTTATTCATTTCAGTTCGTTAGTCTTGATTTGAATTGACATGGAAATATAATATTTTTTTTAAAAAGTTGTGATCTTAAATTAAAGATATAAGCGTATGTTATCTATAATAAGAAAAAAATCTGTCTCCAGTTAGCGAAAGGGAATAGCAAAAGAGAAATTTGTTAGGAGTGAAGACCAAGATTTCCTTGGTCCTCCTAAGGAGTAAGGACCAACAACATACTTGGATATTAACTGTCCATTCAAAAAATATCAATCGTCCAATTTAGAAATCAAATGTTTCGCCTTTTGAAGCTTCAGTGGCATCCGTTTGCTGCTAGGGGTGCAAAATAGACCAGTTGAAGATGGAAGAGTGAATACGTTGTCGGGCCTAGCAACCTAACATCTCTATTTTCTTCAAATCAAGGACATAATTTGAGAGATGACTCTACTTCTTATAGATCTCGAAAACCTCTATGTCCCTTTACTCTAATTCGAAATATGTCTCTTCTTTCTATTCAAATTTCTCTCCATTCATTCCTCGATCCGCTTGTAAATTCTTGGTGTAATACCCACTCATAAATGATTGGTGTAAGAATTTCTCACTAATCATGTGTGATTAGTCTCATCCGTATAAGAATTAGGAATTCCTTTTTCAACTCGTCCGGGCAACTAAACCTAATCAAGTTAGAAAGGCTTTGATAACTCAAGGTTCATATTAAGAAAAAGAGGGAAACAAAAGGGAGGAAAAAAGGGGTAGGTCAAATATACTTGAATATCATTTCATCTTTATGATTTTAAATATATCACGTGGAAACTGGAAAGTATATAAAACATTTTTATTTTTGAGAAAGGTATTATAGATAATTTGAAACGGAGTAGTAATCTTGCATTAAATAGCATATAATTATTGTGATGGTAGTAAAACAGACATCTCTGTACCACTATAGGACCGGTGAAACCTAAGACGACACGTGTCAAGCAAAGAGATGAGTAGTACATTGTTCATCCCGTACAACGGCAGCGTACACCACCTAATTTTCTAAGCAGCGTTTATTATACACGTGTTCTCTTCCTTTTTAACGCCGGAAATCCCTCCACCTTTTCCTTTTTCTCCGTTCAAACGACATCTCTACGTATAGCCGTAGAAATATACGTATAATATAGATTGCAATTTTTCACCATCAACGGATTCGATTCGGAACCCTAGCTAGATTTTGGGATCCTACACTTATAGATAGAGATATATAATCTACTCTTACTTGTACTCTTTGTGTAAATAATTTATTTCTAGGGGAAGCAATGGGAGCGGTGACATCGTCGATGGCAGCAAAGTTTGCGTTTTTTCCGCCGAATCCGCCATCGTATGGAGTAGTGGTGGAAGAATCGACGGGGAAATTGAAGTTGACTGAAGTGGCGGCGAAGGAAAACGTTGACATATTGAAGCTACCGACGAAGAAGGGAACGGAGATTGTCGCGGTGTATATTAGGAATCCGGCGGCGATGCTGACCGTACTTTACTCGCACGGCAACGCGGCTGATCTAGGGCAGATGTACGAGTTGTTTATTGAACTCAGTCACCTTCTCCGGGTCAATTTGATGGGGTATATTTTCCCCCGCTCCTTGTAGTAGTAGACGAGTATTACTTCTTTTTTTTAACTCTAATTATTTAAGTTTTTTTGCTTTTTCCTTTTTGGGGTGAAAAGTAGATGTCTTGCTGTCGGATGAGACTGATGCAGTGACTTTTTTGTTTCAATAGTAGAATCCTATACATCAAGGAGGGTTAGTTTAGAAGATTTATTTATATGTCTGGCACTTTTAATATATACAGTTGATGCAACTTCAGATTCAGTGATAAAATAGTGCTTGCATCAGAAACATAGTAAGCCTCATAGACCCATTGAGAATTTTTTTTTCTAATAGCATAATTGAAGTTGAAATACTCTCTATTCCATCTTATGTGATTAGACTCTCAGATTAAGACATTGCATGGTTAAAAAGTTTGTTTGTGTGAGAAAAACTCCCATCAAAGTTTTACATTCGGAAGTTATTTTATTTCCTGGAAGTTGTAAGAGTTGCATGTGAATAAAATGGTATCAAATGGTTTGGGACGAAGGAGCATTATTCTTGATGCTTTTCTGTATCTTCTTTCATATGAATAGAAGACCAGTTGAGAACTTGTTTCCTGCGGCACAGCTTAAGTTGATATGATACACTGATGAAAGCTAGGATTAATTTTCCAGTCAGATCTGGTGAAATGAGAAGTACTGTCGAAAAACTTGATTCTTTATGGTAAGAGATAATCATTTCTTACATCTGGACTACGCGGACTGTAGAAGTAACACTTTACCTTGCTCATGTATAGTCTTGGAATTCCTTTCAGCTCTTTTTGGAACTTTTATGATCTCCAAAGAGTGAGATCTATCTAATTGAGATCTTGTGTTCGCGTCCTTTCATCCCTTTTTATCCGATTGCATAAATTATGTCTGAATGAACTTGGAGGAAAAGATTACCCTGAGTTGGGAAAAACTTGCTTACTCTCGTCCTCTTGAACAGCTAGTGAAAAAAATTGATTTTGAACCCCGTTCCTTTCTTCTGGCAGATATGACTATTCAGGATATGGGCGGTCCACCGGCAAGGTATTAAAAATTTCTTTTGAAGATTAATTAGGGTTGAGGTTTGTTGAGTTTGAAGTGTTAAACTCTTATATTCTTAATTTCCTATAGCCTAGTGAGCAGAATACTTATGCCGACATAGAAGCTGCATATCGATGTCTTGAAGAGACATATGGGGTGAAAGAGGAAGATGTCATACTATATGGACAGTCAGTTGGTAGTGGACCCACACTGGATCTGGCATCGCGATTGTCAAGATTGAGGGCAGTGGTTCTTCACAGCCCAATACTCTCTGGACTTCGTGTGATGTATGCAGTGAAGCGGACATATTGGTTTGACATATATAAGGTTAGCTTTATATTTCTAGCAGTTTGTGAAGCTGATTTGAAGGACTGGAGTTCATTGTGTAATTGGTTGCTTCTTTATGGTGCAGAATATTGACAAAATACCATTGGTTGAATGTCCTGTCCTCATTATTCACGTGAGTATTCATTTTTCTTTTTCAATCCTCAACATTTACTACTACAGCTATAGTGATAAAACAGAGTGTTGCCAATAATTATAGAATAATTTACTGGTTAACTGTGATCTTTGGATATAAAATGGGGTCATTGGGATTGTGCATATTGGGGTATATAAAATCTTTTTTGCTTGATTGTGTTTACGGAGGAACCTGAATAGAGGTTGGACTAAAATCTGATGTTCTTGGCAATTCTGCCTTCAGATTTCTCCAATTTAGCCTCCACTTACGAGTCTCTACGAGCCTACTCCACCCCTGCCCCTGAAAATATTCACCATTTCTTTTTTTCTCTTGGGATAAGTTTTGAGTTTTAGAATATTTATAACTTATTTCTTAATAGAATTCTCTATCGTAAGGTCGAACCTTTCAATTCGTTGGGTTGTGGATACTCCCTCCTCCATCCTATCTTGGTTGACCTTTCTATTTAGTCTATCCCATCAATATGACCTCTTTTCCTTAAATTGCATAAGTCCACCACATCAAATAGAAAAATGATCAAAATAGTCCTTTATGTATAGGTTTGAATTATCTTGATCCTTGATATATTTCATCATATCCAAATAGTCCTTAATGTATACTACAAGAGTATCATTTTGATCCTAGTCCTAAAAACTAACAGAAAAAATAAAAAACTTGTTAAACTTAACTGTGGATCCCACACTTGGTGAACCCTTCTTCCTCCATCATCTTTTTCCGCCATTTCTTCTCCTTCTTCTTCTCTGTGTTGCCATTTCTTTTACAATTTCTACTGCCAAAAATCTTCTCATACTTACAAAAGTTTCTTTAAATTTAATTGAATATTTGTAAGATTTTTATTTCTATCTCTGTGTTCAATTTTTACCCTTTTATTTTAAAAATAGAATGAAAAAACAATGCTTGAAAAACTTACTAATTTTAAAAAAGTTAAAACGAAAAGATAGCTATATCCCCCATAGATCACTTTAATAAGAGAGAATAAATAGTTACAACTTAAAAAGAGTTATTTATGGCGATCTCCTCGGAGGGAAAATAGAGACTTTTATCCAATTTACTTGGTTCCCGTTTGTTTTGGTAATCTTGATTTTCTTCTTCTTATTATGTATGTAAATAGAATTTTTAGAGGGAGACGAGAAATGGGTGTAGTGTATATGGAGCATGACCTCAAATGGTGAAAGAAAGAGGTTAAGGAAAAGGGTGTGCTTGTGGTAATGGTGAAAGAGCAGATTGAGGAAGAAGGGTCTCAATTCCAAGGGACCCACTGTTAAAGTTAACAGATATTTTTAACTTTTTGGTTAGTTTTAGGGCTAAGGACTAAAATGATCATGATTTTGTATACATTAAGGACTATTTATATAAGATGATATATATAGAGGACCAAAATAATTTAACCCTTATACATTAAGGACCATTTTGATCATTTTCTCTCAAATAGAATGTTACATCTTCCTTTAGTTTAATTGTATCTACATCTTTATTCCCTTTTTACATCTTCCAGCCATTTTGTTAAAAGGTGTCTCAGCAGACTTTTTCCTCTAGAGATTTATGCAAGTCGATGCCAAATAGGACAGGGAAATATGAGTAATTTTCCTTTCTAAGGCTAAGGTGATTCCATACCTGTCATATTTTATAATCACAAATTCGTTATTTGAAAAAAAAAAAAATATACGGTGTAAAAGATTTTTTTTTCTATAGAATTGTAATAGTATTATTTTTTCTGGATGTTCCTTCTTTAGAGATCAAACTATTCTTTTCTAGTTATATTATAATGGTAACTCTTGGATTCAGAATTGCTAGCTGGTATCTGATATGTACTTTTTCTGGGAGTTTCCAGGGCACTGCAGATGATGTAGTTGATTGCTCCCATGGCAAACAACTTTTTGAGCTATCTAAGCAGAAATATGAGCCTTTGTGGGTCAAAACTGGTAACCATTGTGATTTGGAGCTCTTCCCGGAGTACATAATACATCTGAAGAAATTCATATCAGCTATTGAGAAATCAACTAGTTTTAGAAATGTGTCTGCACTTTGCATGAACCAAATAGATAAACCTCGAAGCAGTACAGATTGTAGACCCCGGCCAAGCACAGATCAGAGGGAGAAATCTAGGCTAAGCACAGAGAAGAGAGAGCCTAGAACAAGCACAGATCAAAGAGATAAATTTAGAGCTAGCATAGACCGCAAGGAAAAGTCGAGCAAGAGTGTGGATCTCTCAGATAAGGCAAATGATAATACAGAACAATCAGAGAAAGCTAGAAAAAGCATTGATCGGTTAGATTACCACTGTCTAAGAGTTCTTCAGTTTATTTATTTTCGTCTCTTTTACCGCTATGTTAATTCAGAATAGCCTGATCTTGTATAAAATGCGATAACTGTCATGTCTGATGGATGCTATTGGTGGCAGCTTTGGCAATATGATGAGATCTGCCGTATTGTGCAATATTGATTGCTTCAAGCCCGTGGGAGCAAATGTCTGAATGTCTGATGAAGGTTAGTCTAAAAGGGTAGTCTTTACCACCTTCGGCTTTTGAGCAGTTGGTTGTTTATTTGGTTTTAATGATGTCATCTTTGATTCTTACCTTGTCCATACTATACGAGCTAGGTTTAAAAAGGCTAATCGTGTATGCAATATGTTCCTTAAAAACTAAGGATTTTTTTTTCTTTCTTATGATTGATTTGCTTCATCATTTTGGAGTCTTTACGTCTATTTCCTAGTACTACATGGTTAGCCATTTGGTCAATGTTTGAAGTCCTTGTGCAGGTTTATTCACCTCAAATAACTGTATATACTCCTATTTGTAATCTGTGGTTCTCTGTCTGAGTTCTTGATTGCTTAATTTACTTATCATCAACAATAAGAAATCTGTTGATTGCCTGAATTCTGAGGTTAACTTTCGCATGTAACTGTAATGCATGAGTCCATGTTGCATTTTTTTTGTTCTGGAAACAATTCCATATATTTGATCCCCGAAATAGGTCATGTTTGTGTCGTCTGAAGTTTGGTGCCTGCTGCTGAAACCTCCAAAGAATCACTAAAATTAAGTGCAATTGAGGTTCTTGTAGTTGCTATGTGTTTCTTTTCAGCATTGTGCAGTATAAATGTTGCCACAAAAGCTGTTTGTTTATCAGAAAATTTTCCAAAATACTTGTTGAAATAAGTCAATTCATATAAAACCTTTACAGCTTAGAACCTCAGGAGTAATTTCTAGTGATTAGACAATAAGCTGCAGAAATGGCAGAAAGGATCTACTTTGTTGTTTAGGGATGGATTTGGCCTTTTACTTGGAAGGACACAGTTTGCACTGCTTTGCTGGTAGCGTTTCATGGAGATCCCACATCTACCCGTTTAAGCTCCCTTATGATGAGCTGGTGTGAATAAAAAGTAATCTATATTTTGGTCGATTGTAGAATGTAATGCTTGATTTATCCTTTTGTAATTTATTTTATTGGAGACGTTAGTGATTTTCATTTCAAATTCTCATTTTTTCGTTGACGGACCAGAAAAAACCTAAATGTTTTGTTAGTATCGTTTTGTCGAACTCTTACACTTACAGTTATACGATTGCTTTCAGATAGCCGTTTCCAAGAATGTACGTGCTCCCGAGCTCAACTGAACATTCCAATGCAAACACTGCTTGTAGATACCACGGCGAACCAAAATGGGCTTAGCATGATAGTTATCACACGGGATCCTACAGTTTGGATGAATTTTAGGTTAATAACCAGGAAAAAGTGTGGTGGGGTTTCTCCCGTTGGGTTACCTGATTATATGACCCATTACAAAATGTTCCTTTTTAGTTTTATGACCCATTTCACAGGAGATCTATTAATTATGTTGAAGACATAGGAAATACAGTGCTATAAAGTACAATAGGTCATTCTCTTTAATTCAAATTGTAACTGGTTATTTATATCATTTCCTCTCCCGTGCCTGTACCAAATGGGAAATGTTATGCTTCAATACCCTGAAGATATGTTGCCTGAACTACCGAAGCGAACCGAATCTTTTGTTGTGGATTCATGAGGCATCTCTAATCCTGATGGATCACCCCAGATTTGAGCTTGGTTTTGGAGTACCCATAGTTGTGTCATCTTCCCTCCTTCGACACTCTTTTATCATATAAACACTTGGGCTGACTAGTTTAAAAAATATGTACAAAGTGTATGTTGTTTGCAAGGTAATAAATAAGATATCATGAGTAACTTTAACCCCCTTTTATATCGTTTGATAATTAAAACAGATGAAAAGTTCTCGGTAGAATCGGATGAAAGTGAAGTCGACAAAGATAATGAGAGTTTTTTTTTGTTAAAATTAAGTTTCAGTAGTTTGTTCGATCTATTATAATTATTTTTCGGTTAAACTTCAGAACTGCACAGCCGTAATAGTGACTAATTAATCTAATGTTTCAGTTTATGTTTGCTTTGTAAATAGAAGTCCTCAGATTTTCAGCTGTTTTGACAATTTTTTTAAAAAGTTTTTCTAAATATGTGAAAAAAAAGACACTATGCAATTGTAGTTATTAGTTGATTTTGTTGAAGGTAGAATTAATTTCAAAATAAATTAATACCTCATGTACTTATATTCAAAGGTCGGTAAATTAGTCCACGTTCATGACTATAATTTTGAAATAAACTTTTTCGGCTAATTAAAAAATTGTAACTAATATTTTTTTTCTCCATTCATTTAATTCCACACAAGAAGTGGGTAAATTATTCCGCATCCATAACTATAATTTTAAAAGTATTTGCGAATTAAAAACTAATATTTCTACATGCATTTAATAAAAAAAGTTAAATATTAGTATTTTAAATGAATTATACCACTCTCACTCCCAAAACACATTAATAAAAGGGAAAATTGTGCCTAATGGCAAATTATTAATTTAAAATAAATAATATAACTACTATTTCATTTATTTCCTTTGAGTAGCTACAGTTTCACATATCTTGCTATTGACGGGTCTCATGAATTTGTATAAGTAAATAAAAAAAACGGAAGTTATTTTTTTATACAACTCACTTCATCTCCTTTCTCTCTAACATACCCTTCAATTTCTCCTAAATTCTCTCCACAAAATTAGTTTGAATTTCAAATCTTCACCAACTACGCTCTCAATCACGACTTCAAAAATTTCAGGTTCCGCCAAAACTTGTCTAAATCAATTTTTTTTTTTCAATTTTTCAAATTCAAGTTTGAAAATGACCCAATTAGAATGGATGAAATTAACACAAAGTCAAATACAAAAGGCGAATCTAGTTCAACAAAGAACAGGAAAGCAAAAGCAATTGATTCGACGAGCGATCAATCAAAATCATCTGAAGACATTGTCCTTGGCTTAGTGGAATCGGATGGATCTGAAGAAGTTAAAAGTTTATGTATAAACAATAATTATTGAGTTCTATTTTGTGATTGTATAATAAGCCCTTTTGTATATATATGTAGTAATACTTTCTCATATTTATTATGTTTATTTGTTTGTTTTTACAGATTTGTATAATTTTTTGATTATTTGTTTGTATACACCATTATCATGCATATGAATTTCCTTTATACAATTATATGTTGTATAAAAATCAATTGTATATATATAGCATTTGTTTGTATATAATTTGTTGTTTGTATATGTGTCATTGTCATATATAACAAGACTTGTCTGTATAATTTCTTTAAATATATATGTGGTATTTTTGTTTATATACAATTACTATGTTTTAGTTTGTTTATACAGATTCTATACATTTTGCACAGAAGACACTTTATATACAAGTAGCAGTAGATATTAGCATTTGTTTGTATATAATTTGTTATTTGTATATTTTCCATAGTTATACATAACAATACATATATGTATAATCTCTTTATGTATATGTAGTAATTTTGTTTATAAACAATTACTATGTTTTAGTTTGTTTATACAGATACAATGGAGTCCTAACTAATGAAGAAGTCGTAGAAGGAAAGAAATCCTATTAAAATATAATGTGCGTGAGTTTAGCGATTTTTTTTTTTGTACAGAAATTAGCGCAATTTTCTTTATTTATTTTTTAAAATCAAATTGTATATAAATTGGCAAGATTATCGAAATATACAAATCAAAAAATCACAACAAAAAAGAACATATACTTATACAAATTATAGCTAATCAATTTAATATACCGATTCCAAATTTATTCTTATACACTACATATACAAATTACAGCCATATACAAATATTCAATTGACAAGCCTAACATAATAGGCATATACTTATACATATTGTATATAATATACAAACTAAATTATCACAACAAAACACGAGCCTGCACTGAATTAATATGCAAGTTCACAAAAATTGAACCACAAAATAAAAGACTATACATAATAGACTAAATCATATACAGATTCCACGTATATACATATACAAAGAGTATATGTATATATAAACTACAACTACAAATAAATATATAATTGACAAGCATAACATAAAAGACTTATACATATACAAATTGTACACAATATACAAACTAAACTATTAGAACTAAGGACGAACATGCACTGTATATATATACAATTTCATTATTCATTCATAGATTCAAATAAACGACAACAAATATACAAATTAGAACAAACAACATAGATTCCTATCATAATCTACAATCCTGTAAATTAATGACTTTCACAAAACAAATTTCTTTCAAAAATGAAGGATAAACAACAATATCTTCCACAACATTATAGAATCACAATTTTTTGCAAAAATAAACGGATGATCTTACTCGAATTTGAACAATACTTTCAAAAATGAAGGATAAACAACAATATCTTCCAGAACATTATACAAGCACGATTTTTTGCATAATTCAACGGATGATCTGACTCGAATTCGAACAATGATTGAGACTATATGAGTTAGAATCTATTACATCTAAAAAAAATACAATTCGAATTGTTCATTCAATGGATGAATGTTTAAAAACAAAAATGAATTTCAATACACGAAGAACACCAAATTCGATCTGAAAAAAGTTAAATCAAAACATTTTAGCTCCTCTTGTTATCTCTAAAATTGATTTGATCTCGATTGCTTGAAGAGAATCACCAAAGCTTGATCAATGTGATTTACCCAGTTACCATGGAGTCATTACTGATGAAGAAGTCGTAGAAGGAAAGAGATCTTTTTTGCGTTAATTTAGCGATTGTCTTCCTTTTTTGTAACAGAATTTACAGCTTTTTATTAAATTTATTTAAAAAATAAAATTGTACATAGCTTCGAATGAATCCTGAAATATACAGATTAATAGCTCCATAACAAACATAAATTTGCTATGGAGCGCAATTATGCAAACTATAGCTATTGCATACGAATAGAATTTTTATCTTTGCTATATCTAAAATTATCTCTTAATAAAAAGCCCAAATAATGGTTTTTCTTTTTGTTTTCTTAATTAAAAATTAGAGAAAAAAATTCTGGAATACTTACACGTGTCCCTTGGTCGGGTCTAGCTCGTAAAAAAGCAGATGAAGTTACAAAAAAGTGTGTATAAATAGTAGAGGGCATAGACTCCATTAGCCACAACGGACCCAAGATTTAAGGAGGGTTTATAAAGTCGGTTTGCTGTTAGCCCACCCACCTCCTTCGTACAAATATCCAGTTTCCCTATTTTCTTGTTTACTTTTACACTTCGGAGTGATTCAGTCTCATGAATATCTGCATTTTTCTTGACCCTTCATCTTGCTTCTCTTCTATTTATTATCTCTTTCTTCATTACAACTCTATTTCTTTCACAAAAAATCTTGAACAATTTGATGTCCTGCACTAAAACCCCCATTTCCCTAACCATCAAATTCAACCAATTCACTAATTTAGAAATAAGCCCATATCAGAATTCCCCTATTATGTGGCGAAACATAGTCAAACAGTTCTCTTCAAGAACCCCACAAAAGATTCTTCTTACCTCAAAGAATCGTACTTATAGTTTTCTTGGTTTCGGCCAAGATTCTGTTTTCAATGATAAAAGAATATTAAGATCCTTTATCCCTGTTTCTTGTTCAAATAGTGGATTTCTTGAAATGGGGTTTCAGAATCTTGGTGAATTTGATGAGTTCTTGAGGAGACCCTTATTGTGTGCTATGAAAAGTCAAGTGAGTAACAATGATATTTGTCGAAAGAGCTATGCTAGTGTAGCTGAGGCTGTTGCAGTATCTTCCACTGATGCGGAGGAAGATGTGTCTGTGGTTGGTGAAGTTCAAGAATTGTTAACAGAATTGAAGAAAGAAGAGAAAAAACAGTTTACTTTTAGGCGGAGGAATCAAAGGTTGTTGACTAGTGGTATTGACCGCAGGAAGTATCCAGCGCTTAAGAGGAGGCAAGTCAAGATAGAGACACAGGCATGGGAACAAGCTGCAAAGGAGTACAGGGAGCTTTTGTTTGATATGTGTGAGCAGAAATTAGCACCCAATTTGCCATATGTGAAGTCATTGTTTTTGGGGTGGTTTGAGCCTTTGCGCGATAAGATAGCTCAAGAGCAGGAATTATGTATCCAAGGGAAGTCTAAAGCAGCTTATTCAAAATATTTTCACCTGTTACCTGCGGATATGATGGCGGTTATCACTATGCATAAGTTGATGGGATTATTGATGACAGGGGGTGAACATGGTAATGCAAGAGTGGTACAAGCTGCGCTTACTATTGGTGATGCAATTGAACAGGAGGTTGGTTATCCTGGAATTTTATGTGTGTGATCTAGAGAACACTATTTTTAAGCATCAAACTTGCTGCGTTATGAACTTTCTCTTAAGTTTTTCTTCTGTGTTATTCAGCTCCTCTTCTATAAGTGTTGTGATGGAGCAATAGAGTGTCTGGGAGAATATCACTTGTGAAGTCTGTACAGATAAATGGTGGAAAAATTGTGTGTCAGCATATTAGAGACCAACTGTACAATACTTAGAACTATCAATAGTGGACATTGGACAATGATACACCTGCAGAA